ATTACACACCAAGGTGGGAAGTGATTCATTCCTGTCGCGAGATTAGATTAGTTAGTTAACTGAGACGCAAAGCGTCGAGGTTAGCTATAATTTCGAGACAGGAATGAAACTTCCTACCGAGGTTTGTGTACTATTTTATTTACAACCATCATATATCGATCAAAATTAATAAATCTATGTTTCCTTCTTAACATACCTGAATTATTACATGAGTGAGGGAGGGAAGTGAGGGCGGGAAGTGAGGGCGGAAAGTAGAGGTGTGTAATGTGACACTTCCCAACCTTCAATGACGTTAGTAATGACAACATTACATGGTTGTAAATAAACACTGTTTTCACTATTGTTGAAAACCCAGTTGAAAACGAGAATATCATATTACAATTCAATGCAACCTCACATAACTATCGTGGAAAGTGACATATTTCCGAGCATATTTCGCACCATTGATATTTAGCTCGACGCCACATAGCGTAGCTATTTTTCCTACGACCATAAATATACAGGGTCGCATATATTTATGGAAACAGGTGAATACCTCGGGAACCTGTTGTTAGATTTTCCTGAATTTATGTACAGTTTGATTTCAAAACGTGGGGATTTGAAAATGTTATAGCCAATGTTTTCACTTCTTCAGTTATTCCGGATTTTTTATTGACTTCCTTATTTTGAATGAAACACCCTGTACTCTATTGAATCCTCAGATCCTCCTTCAAGAGCTGATTCCATCGATCTATCACACTTGGGGTCTAGCGGAAGATCTAGATTTGTCGAGATTTGTCAACTTTAGGATTTTTTTGTGTCGAAACTATCCATTATCGATCAAAATCGCTTTAATGTTCCTATATATCTTCACTTTTGATTTACTATCTACTGACATTTAATTGGAACAGATATAGAGGGTGATCAGAATTCTGGATCTTGAACCACCCTGTATTTGTTTCAATTCAATGTCAGAAGATATAAAATCAAAAGTGAAGATAGGAACATTGGAGCCATTGGAGCGGACCCTGTCTTCAATTTGAAACACAAAGCACAAATACATAACCTTTCATTCGGTAAATAAATCAGTATTTCATTCCGAAGAATAAAAATATGATTTGGAAATCATATTTTTTATTGAATTATTCGTTGACGAGAATTTGGTCGAGACATTCGAGAGCTACCACGCACCTCGTAACCACGCTACCAAAAATACATTAGAGTGCCAAGTCACAACGGTATATAGACCCAAGCCACAGCATTGACAGCAATGAGGTTATGTCTCGCAGAATATGACAAAATAACAAAACAAATACGGAAACTTGAACGATTATTAGTTCTCATGGGGCAAAATATAAAGTCTAACGAAAATAAATGTAAATACAATGACGGTAAGTATTTAAATATGATGATTCAGCATTATAATCATTCATACATTGTATAGACCAAACACAGATCACGTGAGCGTGCGGGAATATTGCCGCACTATTCGTTTTCACTTTCGCATCGCTAGATACTTTCTGAGCAACAACACAGTGTGCTGCTTTCAAAGGTGGTCGTAGGAAAATAACTTTACTTACTTTCCCTGCTTAATTGTAATCATGTATCAACACAAAACTGACGTTTTCCATGAAATGTCATTGTCTAACAGCATTTGCTCTCATGAGCGGGAAAATGATAGCGGGAATAATGAAAACATACTCGCATCGCTGCCTTGAAGCTTTTCTTCTCAGATTATGAAAAATATACTGTCAGTTAACTATCAAACACACGTGATGTATAAAGTAGAGTAATTCTATAGTTGCGCCACAATAGACTTTTCTTTTTTTTTACACTAGCAAATTTAATAATTCCATATATCTTGTACATACAATAATGATGAATTTAAACTCAATGTATAATCACTGTGTAACACAGGCTGAAGGACCACGGTCGGTAGCCTTTTGGGTATCCAATAAAGCTCTTGAATTATTATTATATTCAATTTTTTTGTTGTGAAAATGTGAACAAACCTCTATTTATCGAGATATTGCCAGAAAAAAATCGAAATTTTGCCTACTTTTTCCTCCTGTGTTGGATCGTGTTGGATGCATTTACAGCTACATGCTCTTCTTATTTTGTCATTGGACACTTTATATACTCATGATGTACTTCAATGACACAAAAATGTGAATTATTTTTATTCTTGGTAGGGTAATTACCCCCATTACCTCCCTCTCCATATCGACGCCCTTGATTTGTTGTTGGATTCACTAGTTATTACCAAGTTCAATATTCTGATAAATCAGGATAAAAATCTGTGAAGCGATATCTTTTTCAATGTTTTTATGATGAAAAATGCTGGTATTTCACAATACTATGGTTCAGTTTTCACATGCAGAACAAAATAAATATTGTACAATTTTCCAAATATTTCAGTTGAATTGTGACATCTATGAACCCCAAAAATGCATAAATGTATTTAAATCGTTTTATTAATGCAAAATCCTAATGAGCATCACATTTATAACCGCATTGAAAACCATATCTGATGATAAATTACGTATACTTCGTGGAAACTTTCACTCATCGTTTATTTTTGTTTGAATTCCACACCCAATTAAAGCATGGTATTTAATTCTACGAGTTCAAGTTCCTAAGTCATTGCATAACTTGTAATAAAGACCCAAATATCACTGAAAGATTCAAGAAACTCATACTTTTGAACAGGGTTGGCACGAATTAATTCATATGAAATAAGTCAGTGATTTAATTCGTGGATAAATCCAAATGACCATTTTCAAAAAATCTCAAACTTTCTCCAATGGAAACAAATCGCATCATTATACCTTCAATTTGAACTAGTTGGAACTGAAAAATCCAACGGCATTATGGCAATCTGACCATGATAAACATCTGAGCGTACACAGGCGGAAAAGTTACTCTTCTAAGAGTTACAATTTTCAAATTTTTCCACAATTGCTGCAGATAATATTTCCGGCAATAAATATAATCGTAATGACTGGCTTGCAATGTCTCTGGCTTGCAATGTCTCTGGCTTGCAATGTGTTTTAGTCTTATTGTGTTAGAGAAAACCATGAGAACAGTAACATTCAATATGCATATGCATAATGATGTACAAATAATGCATGAAATATCGAAAATCCATTATTTTATCACTCAATTAATTACAAGAGATATTTTTTGTCAAAGTGAACTTGATGAGAAAGTTTATGCCAGGCAATTATACAAAAAAAATGCTGTCTAAAATGACACCAGTGCGTAGGCGCGTAATGAAAATTGCTGCAATTTTTTAAGAAACTCAGAACATTGCAAACTTCAAAGTAGCTGAATAAGGTAATAATAAGTTGCATACCGGCATTTATTAATTATTATTATATAATTCAGGATGCGGGACTCATGAAACTGGGCAAGTGAAGGGACAATAACAGAACATGCAAAAATAGCAAAGTGGGTGGAGCAGGAGATTCCTATCTCCACTCTCAGAGTGAATGAAGTGCAGGACAGGCTGAGATGGAATATATAGGAAGTTCAAACTTAATATTCCAAGCAGAGCAGAATTCAGAAACAATACAGTGGAGTTTCGCCCAGGAAGCTTAGTATGTTATACACAGACGGATCCCGTCTGACTGACAAACAGGCCTCGGGCGCAGGGATCTATCTCGAAGGGAGAAACATACGAGAAAGCTATGCTCTAGGAAAATACACCACAGTTTTCCAAGCTGAGGTGTTCACCATCCTGGTCGTAGCAGAGAGGCAAGAGGTGAAAGAGGGACCAGAGCAGAAGATCTATATCTGTTCGGATAGTCAGGCAGCACTCAAGGCTATCTGTCATCCCAGACCAAGCTCAGCATTGGTACAGGAATATGGAAATGCCCTTGAGATATTAGCCGAATCAAAGGAAGTTGACCTGGTATGGGTCCCGGGTCACAGTGGGGTGCCCGGAAACGAAACAGCAGACGAACTTGCTAATGCCGGATCCGCGGAGCCGTTTCTGGGACCGTAGCCTGTACTAGGTATAGCAAGGAGCCAAATTACGTCAGCCCTCGATGAATGGGCTGACAAGGCACTAGGAGAATACTGGAGGAATATCACAGGTTGCAGGCAGACCAAGGAATTCGTGGCCGGTCCGAGCAAATCAAGGAAGGAGTGGCTGCTTGGCAGAGACCGCCAAGTACTCCGCCTCCTCATAGGAGTACTCACAGGCTAAGCACTGGCTGGCTATCACTTCTGGAAATAGAGGACAACCCCACTTGCCGCAGATGCGGAAGACGAGGAAACGTCACTCCATTTCCTCGGCGAGTGCGAGGCGTACGGAAGGCTGAGATTTGAAATCTGTGGAGTACACAAACTCCAACAGGAGGACTTGATTATATTAGAGTGGAAAGGAAATCTAGGTGAAGGCAGCGTAGATATGTTGAAAGCAGGGGTTAGCAAAAAGGGCCCATCGGGGCCTACTTGCTTGGCTGCAGCCTCCCCACCTACTTCTACTAAGTCAGTCCGAATTACCTAATTCAGAAAGTCGGAACATCATTACTTTTTTTTAAGTTATGACTTATTCCAACCCTTTTGAAACATCGCAAGCTAACTCAATAGCTGTCAAGATAGTTTCTTACTTGGTAGACATTATCGATGTTTCGGTAGAATAGTATACTATAGTCTCATACACCTTTTACAGTTGTATTTCAGAAAGGTCAATTGTATTTCAAATGATAATTTCTGAAATACAAATGACGCTTTCTGAAATTGAATAGACTATTTTGAAATACAATTGACGCCTCGATTGACGCTTTCTGAAATTCAATTGACTATTCTGAAATACAATTGATGCTTTCTGAAATTGAAATGACGCTTTTTGTTATACAACTGGAAAAGTTGTAGTTTCGTGATAGACTTTTCATGTAGTGACCATTGTAGTTAGTCTGAAAATGTCTCGGAAAATATTGATGGCTCCATCGTTATTTGGATAGTTTCAGTCACAGGAGAATAATAATCCACATCAAATGGAATAAAAAACAAGATTCAAGAAGAGGTACTTTATTATTTTCCATCTCCACCGGTACCAGCTACAGATGCCTGGTACATCAGTACTCTTATTAGCTGAATGGACTGAGTGAAGCCCACGAAGAAATTGACGCTGAACAGGAACCAACTGCGTGGAGTGATCACCAGCGAATACCTGGACCATATCAGCCCGGCTATGGCTAGCGAGGCGCATTGCTGAGCGCTGATCAGGCTGGGATGTCGGCCTAGATCGGAAATGCTCGCTACTACGAGGCCCCATTTGAAGGCAGGCGCCCAGAAGAATATCGTTTGGGGACCTGCAAGAATACGGATATGTTATCATTATCATCATTATCCAGGGCTCCAATACCAGCCAGGCAAATCATAACATAACATAAATATGGACTTGGCAACAATTCTATAGAGGGGATCCAATAACTTGGTAGATTTCAATGCAAACAAAACACAAGCATGCCTTTTCTGTAGAAAAGCCGATCTCACTGTGCCCAACATAAGCTTGTCAGGAGTAACCATACCTTAGAAGACATCCATTTCGATGCTTGGTATTACTATGAGCAATAATCTTTCTTGGGAAAATCACATAAGATCAATTGCTAAAAGTGCATCCCAAAAACTTTTCTGTTTCGGGCCAGGAGCTATTTCACTTCCAGTCAGCTGCTTATGATCTATGAGGCACAGATCCGAACATCCAAACAGACCCGGAAAAATGGTGGATTCTGTCCAAAAAAGGGCAATTCGTCTCGTGGGTGATGCCTCGCTCACAAACTCACTCACTTCTCTGGAACACCGTAGAAAAGTCAACGATCTGGTTCTATTTTATAGATATTTTCATGGACGATGCTCTTCTGAAAGATCAACAATTGTTCCTCCCTTGGCAGTCCCCGCGGGATCAACCCGTCGAGTTGAGGCTTCACACCCCTTCGTGGTCGCTTTGGAGACCTGCAGAATATCTCTTTTCAAAGACTCGTTCATCCACCGAACAGCGAGGCTCTGGAAAACATTTCCAATGGAGGTGTTCCCCGAGACATATTACCTCCAGAAATTTAAGAAGAACACCAATTCCTACCTTATTTCCCTTGGTTCTCACGATGTTCTCATTAACATTACAGGATATCCCTTTTCGTGGGAACCAGAACATAAATAAAAATTATCATCATCATCTTTATTATTCCCATGAAACAATTTACAAATATGTTGGTCTTCATGTTCCAGACACTGACTGTCGAAGGTTAACTGACAGGGCTAGCCTCTGGATTAGCAGAAAGGTTTGTCCTACTCAATACTGATAATTTGACTCCAACAAATCAGTCATCGAAAACTGCAATGCTGCAAAACTACTAGAATGAACCTCATTTTGGCTCATCATATTAGCATTATTACATCTTACAATATTTCAATCAATATTATACAATCTGCTATAAGTTATACAGAAGAATATCCGAGAATATCGTCTGGGGACCTCCTCATGGCATTATTACACCTCAAAATATTTCAACATTCTACAAACTGCTGTGTTATACAGAAGAATATCGTTTGGGGACCTGGAATAATACGGAAAAGTTAGTCTTAAACATGTTCCAGGCACTAGCAGTCGATGGTTAGACAGGACTATCCTCTACATTGTGACAACCCACAATATTTCAATATTTTACAAACTGCTATAGATACTGTAAGTAGTGAACTGATTACAGGTAAATGCAATTTACCAATCTAATCTGTTTATCTAGTTCTGGGTATCGATAGCCCAGTGAATGTTTCTCAATGTTTAATCAGCAACACCTTCATCTTGAAAAGTGTTATATAATCTTAGTTTTCTAAGTTGGTTCCTCAAAATCGCCATTACCTCAGGAGAAATTTGGACCTGGAATTAACTTTTCCCTTAGGCACAATCAGATGAGTATAAAAGAGTTTGATAATAGATGTTGCTCTTGGAGATGCACCATCATTATTTTCCATACCATCCATTCAGCTCATGTTCAGATAAATCTTGCCCTGATGCAGATACAATTGATTTCGTTGTTTTGGATTGGGTATAGTGAATGAATATGGAAGATGAGCTCACGAGGCTACAACGACCTGAATGTCAAGTACTCAGGGACAAATAACTAAAAAATGGTCTTATAAAGGCCTACCATGGTGCATAGGATTACTGAAAAGACAGTATCTTCAGTCCTGAGTGGAAAACATGAGATATTATCAAGATCCGTCACATCATTCATCTAGAGATAGACCAACAAGATCACTCCCGATCACATCTTACTATGTAATGAAGAAAGAAAGATATATGGCATTGCCACATAATTTCCATCGAATGTTAAGATGAGCTCTGTAACTGTGTAGCTACTGAATGTCCGGGATACCAACGAACTCACTCCCATAGAATGAAACTTGTCATATTGTCAAGAAGTACAAATGCCTATGGAATAACCTCACTCAAATTCGCGTTCATTCCAAGATCTTCAATTATAAATCAACTTTTCCAAAACATCCAGTACAGTGTAGTTTCGATCAGGTCAGCGGAGTTCATAGACTTCAGTTCCTGTAGAATTTGCAAAACCGCGTACCGTGCGATAATACTTAGGTAAGCAATATCGAAAGGTAATGGCCATTCCCATTTCGGAAAATTGCAAACCTAGCATCGATTCCGAATATAAATAGTTACCCGAGTCGATAAGGCATTATCATTATTAATACAAGTCATTAGTAATCATCAATTATGTTCGCCGTCTCCCCGACTTCCATCCTGCTGGTCAACCTCATGCTAGACGTTGTAATGTAAGTACTGTTTTTTTCAAGTGTTGTTTTGCGTTGTGTTTCATTTGCAAAGCCATTATGTTCTTTTTGCATTTATCCATTCATCCACGATTTTTCCATTTAATCAAAAAATGTGAAATTTAATATGAAACCTGTATTGACTCTTTATTTGGGGATGAATGTGGTTGGGTGGTAAAATGATCAAAACCTCTCGTCAAAAAGCCAAGCGAGTAGCTAAGTTACGACCTATAGGAGAGTCAACATCTGAGTTGCGACAATATGAGTACTTATACAAAATAGCTAAATACCATCCATGGAAGCGGAAATTCAGAGTTGCATACTGCTTACCTGCTGGATGATGCCAAAGAGGTATCAGTTTTTTCGGAACCAGATGGTCGTATCGGTCCGTGATATATTTCTTCTGGGTTTCTACGATTATATCACATCCGGGATACCTCAGTAAACGGTACATGCCTACAACTCGGTTAATCATTGCAAATTATTTATCAATAGTTCCAGCAATTATATTTTGATTTTTGGCATTATCACAGGTATTCAATGTCGAAAATGTCACTCAACTTGATCAAATGACATGAGAGCAGATAGATATACCGGACGATACAGGAAACACACTGTAACAGCCTAATGTATTTTTTTCAGTCAGTGCTGAGATGCAATTTTGAAATTCACAGTAGTAGGTAAACTGGCATTTTTTTAACCATTAGGCTCAGTGTATTATTTCCGAGGGGTTGACCACAGCCTGAATAGTGTACGAAAAATTCCTTCTGCATCTATCTCGAGATCCATTGAGTTTTCGAAAAGAATGAAGAAGAGCAAAAATGTTCAAAATAAAACAGATAATCTGAATTAATGTGTCCCTACGACCAACTACCGACTGCCTTTTGTGGATACACCTCAAGGAGCAAAATTGGGCTTCACTTCTGATATTAAATTGAACCCACGACCGGCAAGCGGACGCGGATTATAATATTGACGCTTCGTCCACGCGGCTACCTGGCCACTATTATTCTACTACTCATATTCTAGTACTGTTTTCGTAATGTTTGTAAGTACTCAATTTTGACGAAAGAACCATAAACTACAGCTTCGAAAACCCCCAGATACTAATTTTTGATAGAATCGGATCGTGATTACAAAACCCGTCCACCATATTGTATTCGCTATATTGAATTTTGGAAATTTTGACAAAAGCATCGTAATCTCCGACCCCGAAAACCCCCAGATTCCAATTTTGGATAGAATCGGATCTTATAATTACAAAACTCGTCCAGCATATTGGATCCGTCATCTTGAATTTTTTTGAAAGAATCATGATTTCCGACCACGAAACAAATTTGAATAGATTCAGATCGAAATTACAAAAATCGACCGGCATGTTGGATTATCGCCCCTCTTGAATTCACCAATTTTGACAGGAGAATCATAATCTCCGACTTCTAAAACCCCTAGACACCAACAACAATATTATAAAATGACGTTGTTGTTGAATGTAAAAACAGCCTTGGCTGAATTTCGCCCAAATGAAGACGATTTTTTATTATTATTATACTAAATAGTTAGTATTTTTGTCATATGTGTTATTCAAAGGCCCGCAACCACGGGATGCGATTTTGGAGGGAACTGTTTTTCTTTATCTCATGCATGAAGCACACGAAAGGAAATTTCTAAAAAATATTTTGTGTTCATTGAATTTCGAACCCCTGGGAATTCGTAAAATTTGTATACCTCTACTTCAAAGCGGGAAACTATATCAACCTCTCTAGAAATCGAACCTTGTACGGGGCTAAGTAGAACGGGACCTACACTGCGAAGCGGAAACCGAACTACTTCTAACGAAGCCGATAAGCAGACAGGATTGATATCATGACACCCGTCTTCAACCAAAAAATTCATTCGCCTGCCGGATTCGAACTGTCATCATTTCGGACACTAATAAATATACAGCATATCTAGTAGCGAATGAGCGATAAAGGCGAGGATAAAGGAGTCTTGCCCACGGAGCTAAGGTCCCCAATTTCTCCGAAATGCCTCGGAATTCCTTCATTTCCTCGAAATTTCCCTAAATTCCTCGAAATTCCCCAAAATTGTCCGAAATTCCTCGAAATTCCTCAATTTCCTTGTTATTTCCCACGAAGTGTACGAAAAATTCTTCTGTGGTTAACCCCTCGATTATTTCGAATGGATCCCTGTATATTCAGCCTATTCTACTAGTTTTCGAATTCTCTATTCAATCATCGTAATATTTATCACCTCGTATATGTCACTAACTAACTGAAACTGGTGGCAGTAGTTTTCAGTAGTCCTTTGAAAACCAAAGACAGTATTGCTTCAATTTTTCCATAATTTCAAAGTTGATACATTTGGTATGCAAGTACAGTGTCATATTTGAATAAGATCGGTGCTACATTAAAGAATTGTTGAATTTCCATTGTCAAAACTGGATTGTTAATTCTCATTGAAAAATAAAGCAACAACAACTTTTTGCACACCAGTTGGACCCTAAGTTCCGCAAAATATCAGTATATACTGTGTTAAGTATTTGTTCAAAAATACCCCCCCTCTTTATCACATGTTCAGTTGATAATTTCGGGACTCAATTCCTACACGAGGGCAGCGGATGTAATTTTTTTCCGCGTATCATTTTTTTCAAATTTCAACAAGAACAAACTCCCGTGAATTTATTGAACTCATCGTTTGAAATCATCAATTTTCAAGGCAAATTCAAATTTGATTGGTGACGCCGCTGCATGCGAGCAAAATCACATAATTTTCTAGGAGATGATGAAAATCCATAAAAATCATGACTTGAAAAATGCGTACATTGAAAAAACGTTTCACAATAATATAATATGTCATTATCGGCCAGTCTGTGAGTCAAATTGAAATTGAATTATTCATACATAGATTAACGACTCCCCCGTTCATAATATGAGCATTGAACAAACTGTGGAATTTATCCAACAATTATTGCAATTTGTTTGTGTTCAAAATTTATTTGTCATTCACGAGGTCCAATTTTCAAAGTTGTGAACTGATATTGCACCAATAGGAAAGTGAGGAAGGCGAAGTATTTCAACTTGAACCATATAGATTAGAAGATTAAGTCAAGTCGTTGAAAATATTGGCCATTCGGTATGTCACAGTATAATATCGAAGTAGTTCTTCAGGTTGTTGCTTCATCGAGAAAGTTTCATAATAACCGTTTATGGGGAAATGTAGGAAAGTAAAATATTACGTCCGCGATTCGTGACATTTTGATATTTATTTCTTGCAACCACTGATATTTTATACAGGTCGATTCACGAAAATCTCGATACACTTGGTGACTGCGAGAACCAAGTTTCCCTCATTTTGTGATTTGAGCCATCATAGCCGGTTTTGCTGGAATACCCTAGGGAATACGGTGTATTTTTTAAAATTTCTTGATTCAGGAGATCGTTTTACATTCAGTAGGATGTTCATTGATGCCACATGTTTCAATATTCGATCAACATTTTAGTAAGCACAGTGAAGAAAAACAAATTACAAAACCACCTAGATGAATTGAAAATAATTGAATTTTATTCCACTTCAGACAAGTCACTAACCATTTGGCCAACATACTTGACTTATTCCTCACCAATAATAACTTAGCACCTTACTCCATATATATTTAGATGTACGAGCTTCGAGCTACACTAGGCACTAGTGCGGGAAAAACAAAGATATGATAATTTCGCAAAATATAAGTGGTTGGTGATGGAATATGAAAGTTTAAGTTTGTTGTATGTTCAGAATCATCCATCAAATTGCACTATCCATTGTAAAAATTGAGAAATATTGAAAAATAAAAATTTATTATTATAAAAATCCTCCTATAGATTTGGATTGATCTAATGGGAAACGATTATTGTTGTCATGCCAATCAAACCTCAAATAAGTTTGTAATTGTCGAAGTAACAGACACAGCGTTACTGTCATTTTCGATTCAGTGGAATTGCCACAATGTGATCAAAAACTTCCAGCTATTATTGGGATGCGATAGAGATGCCAACAAAGTCTTAAGAAAGGTATGAAAAGCTATACACGCGTTTTATTGAATGGTGCAACAATAAAGAAATGAAAATACCGAATAAATAAAAAGTATTTTTGGCTCATTTCCTAGAATTTTCTGAAACCTAGAGACTAAACACCTTATGGGCCTGCTGGCTTCCGCAATGAACCTACATAATGCGTCAAACTGTAAGTTCACAATAGCTTTTACTAATAATCAGTAGATACAGAATATATTCCTCTCGTTAGTTGTTCCTATATGCATAAATAATCAATTGAACAACTTAATCAATTTCCTAGACTTGTAGAAAAAATATTGTTCCTAACCCATGCGGAAAGTGTCTTTCCCGCACTCGACTGCTTGCCGTGTCAACGGCAGTCGCGTGCGGAAAAGAATCACTTTCCGCACTTGTTAGGAAAATAACTATTCAGCATTAGTTGGAAATATCAGAAATATATCGCCTATACGGCAGTAAACTAGGATTTAATGCCGTAACTGGCAATAGGTGAACATAATTTTGGAGCGTGTCCTTCCTTTCGGGAAACATTTGTGTAACTTTTTTTTTTTTTGGAAAAAAAAATTGTTATTGAATAATAAAAAATAAATCAATTTTCCTAATAAAACAATATTTTTCTCAATACATTTTCAATATATATTTCTTAGAAACAATTGATTCATCATTAAATAAAAGACCGCACCGTCGAGCGTGTTATGTAAATGATGCGCGGCGCGCTGTTCTAACGATTGCTGACGGCGTATGTTAAATAAAAATTCGGGCTGATGTTTTTTTGATTTTTGCTATTATTAACAACCTGCATACCTAATTTAACATTTTAGAAAACAGTTTCACCATCAATCATACTATTTTTATGACTTAGGCGCATCCCCTTACGATATATTGAAGACTGACGGTAACCACGTCATATTTCAGTAGCTTCTCTATTTTGAGGCAAGTTTTTAGATTTATAAAACATGTTTTTTCAACAACTTTGAAGCCGCCCCTGCGCTTATCGCTAACCAAACTGGCTGACTGAAGGCAGGCTATATTGCTATACACCCTAAATACTAGATAATATCGAAATTTCAACCTTTAGAAAACTGTTGCATTTTTGTACCACTCACATCTCGGTCTATTATGTGCATATTTTATAGCAGGTATATCGAAATATTCAATGTACGTGAATGCTTTACTTAAGGAGGCTCAGCCTCCATTGCCTCCTCTCATTAGCCACCACTGGGTTACCAACCAGTGTTACTGTTACCACTTCATTGATTCAGTTTCAGTTTACACGATCCACATTATCCAGCCGCTTGAATTGAAATCATAATAAAAATATGGACGATAAAACTAATAATCCATAAAGGAATTACGTCAGTCGACGCAGTGTTCGTAGTTTACACATTAAATAAGAGTTTATAATTAGCAATTCATTCATACACGATCGCCGTTCGTGTCAATCGTTGGAAACTATTGAATCCGGAAATCTTCAGTGACGTAGCTCGAATTGAGTTCAAGATAT